ACAGAGGTGTACAGAGCACGAGCTCCGTAGCTCCGCCGACGATCCCCGGGGATCTCAGAGTAATTCAAAATGATGAATATACTTTACAATAGAGAGGGGAAGGTCTATAGCTTCAAATACGACCGCTAGAGAATAGTTGCTTAAAAATTTCGATTTAAAAATCGGGACGGAGCGCTTACAGATCCCTGCCTATTTTTCCATTAAAAAACATTAGAAATTTAGAATGATGAGCGCCCCCCCCCCCCCCAAATCACGCCCTCTAGACTGCTTATGGTGGGCTCAGTGGACCTAAGACCCCCAGGTTCAGGCACCTATGTGAACAACTTCCCACCCCCCCCCCCCCCCCCCTGTCCCCTATCAGCCTAGACAGTTTTCCCGACTTCAGTCCTAGCTTGTTATTTTAAAAAGCGAATAACCTATGTCTTGCTCGGTAACACATACATTCTAACCGGAAGCACTGGCTTACTGGTATTTTAAGTTACGACTTATCTGAACAACATCTCAAATTCTAAGTTAGCACATAGTTCTGCACTTTACGGAAAAAACGACAGTTCATCCTGATAGAGCTGACCGTAGCGTACGAGTCACGGGTGGAGGCAAATCACCTGTACAAGCTCGAAAAGTAAGGTGAGCTCTTGGCCGGTCTGAGGAGAGACGAAGTGTACGCACTCAAAATCTTCGCCGTCGAGGTAGGCGCAAGAGGTCTTATCGCCACTTCCACATACAATGTGCTAAAGATGCTGGGCTTTAGAGGACCGAGTGTAAACGGTCACTAAAACAACTGGGTGAAGCTGCAGAAAGAACTTCGAGCTGGCTCTGGACGCAACGGAACGTGCAGACAAGCGAGCCGTGACCATCACCTGACTAAGAGGTCATGAGCGAACGAACTCCAAGGACTCGGAGGCACTTTTGGGGTCAGAGAGCAAGACAAACGGCTTCGTGGAGTTCCCTTCCACGCCCCACACAAAAAAAATGTAATAAGCAAACAGACAGTGTATTGATTGTCACTCATAGAAAGAAAGAAGAACACATTACAGAACATAAAAATCGAAAACTATAGTTACCGTGCCGAGAGTCGAACCTGTCACCTCCAAATGGCGTCTGCGCCCCGCTATTTAGAGGAAACAGGTTCGATTCCCAGATCGGTAACTATCGCTTTTAATTTTTTATGTTGATTTGTGTGTTCTTCTTTATTGCTACTTCTTTCCACGAGTGTCTGTTTATTACATTTAATATTTATACTGCCGCGAGGGTTCCCCCTGTATTTATTTACCCCAGAAAATTTGCACCACTGAAGTATGCCAGGAATTCAGGCAACAAATTATCATCACAGGTCCACGTCAGCATGGCTTTAAGTCATTCTCGTATGAACACACAAAGTTGAGTGATGTAGTCATCGGCTGTAACGGAAAATCCAAAACAAATCATAATTATTATGGTCCAGCGAAACAATAACCGCAGAAAGAAACAAAGTGACTGTCTGACAGGGACAGCTTGTGTCGTCTGCTTGCTAAGTGAAGGAGCTGAATCAAGTCGAGATTGTGCAGTACAGCAGCCATGTTGACATGAAGTTCCAGGTGTCAGCAGTACTTCTGGTCGGGCTCAAGGCTGGCGATGACGTGTTCAGGCCAAAAAAAAAAAAAAACCTTACAGTTTCTTGTCTTCATTGTAGCAATTTAAAAGAGATGCAGGGCTGTCACACGCAGGCAAAAGTAAACACGCACACACACGCACACACTCACACCACACACATGCTGCAACACCAGACTTTGTGTAATCAAGAACTGGCGATGTGTGGAGTTATAAGACTGTCGAGTGCGCAACGATTTTTTCGCCAGTTGCATCTCATGTAAAATGATTTTTAATTTTAGTTTTTTTTTTTTTTTTAAATTTAGTCTAAATAATGAGTTGTAATTAAACTTTTATAGATCCCAAATGGAAAGTTCAAGGGCGGTAATTCTGAAGAAGCTACAGAAGTAAACAAAAATTAAAAATAATGATGATAAAGCAACGAGGAATGACGCGTGCGTGCAGGTGAGAACTGGAGGAAGGGGGGAAAGAAAAGGGGGGGGGGGGTTGGCTCAGGTTGATAGATGGTAGTAATATTTACCAGATCCAGCATTTAGAAACTGAAACATCCCAAGTATGACGTATGGGCTGACAGACGACTGACAGACATGTTTCCAGACATACACTTTTGGAAACTCAGTCCGTAAGTAAAGATCCGTTGCGGGGCCATTCGCAAATCAGGCACATGATGCTGATAACAATCCTGCATTTTCATAGACCAGTGGCTTTCAACCTTCCTAATGCCGCGACCCTTGAGTAAAGTTCACTCATGTCGTGGCGACCTACAAACTATTATTTTCCTTCATAACTTCATTAAATATGTGTTTTCTGATGGTTTTAATCGACACATGCGAAAGGGTCGTTCGACCCCAAAAAGGTCGCGACCCGCAGGTTGAGAACCGCTGTTATAGACCAAACAGCACTCAGTGAG